AGTCGTGTCCAATCATGGCATTGATTTCCGGGTCCATGGGGACTCCCACGTAGGCGACAACTCGTTCGACGGGTTCTCCGTCTTTCCATTGGCTGGCATCTTGTACGCATTCCAAGACGGCCGGATATTCGTCCTTGTAGTGAATCCACGTAGTCCCCAGGCTGTAGCCAAAGGCCGGCGCGAATCTAGAAGATTCGACCCTTAGGGCTAGAGCTAAAACGACTTGTGTTCAAGGTCGCCACCAGGCAAGACAAAGCAATAGACTAGGCACCTCCACTACTCCAAAGCACCTCTATTGAAGCGGCGCATGGGAAGCACCTCTACGGTACCGGTACTGTATGATACGACTGGCTGTAGAGGTACGAATCCAAAGCACCTCTACTGGTATCGAAGCACCTCTACCGTTATCGAAGAACCTCTATCAACACCTCTGTACAGTACACGTATCCTCTATCGACTCTGGTTCCTCTATCCACAGCCAGTCAACACTCCTTTCTACACTCCTTCCTCTACTGACAGCCTCAAGAAGATGGTCAGGCAGAGATGCTGCCTAAGGGATCCTCCAAGGCTATTACCACCACAGAGATCTAGGATACTACATGTATGTATCGGTACTACGATACCAGTCTACTAGCTAGGTCTTACTGTAGTTGTACTATAGGCATTACTGTACAATCCGAAGAGTATTACCAGAGTCTTAATGCACTGCAGGTCTTAATACCCAGATCACTCTAGTCTAATGCACTCAGAGTGAATGTAAAACAGAGAGTAAGGAAGGAAAGGGTTTCAGGGATAATTCCTGAAATCGATGCACTACTAACAAGAGAGAAGTCATGGATGCTTGAACGCAATCTGAGACCCGTTGTTTGGACGAGTCGTCTCCCACACAACTTTGGGGTCAGCCACCTACAGCTTGGGTTGTAACTATCTGGCATTGAACTTCTCCAAATAACTCAGACTACCAATCGCAGAGGACAGGATACCGGAGAATTGGTTGCGACGAAATATAAATGATCTCAGCCAGCTATATTGGAGCACCAATCTATGAATGTTGGAATGGTCGAATCAGCCAATAGCTAGTACGGTGGCTTGCTTGAGAACTAGTATGGTACTCCAAAAAGGAAAGGAACGCCAATCGGGGATGGTTAGCCAAAACGGGTAGTAAGGCAGTATTATGATTGGTTAAGAACCTGTGTATATGTCAGCATCATTTAACAACTGCTGACGCATACATGACACTAAGGTAAGGGAATACAGTGCTACCTTTCTATCAATTTCGGACAAGTCGAAAAGAAAAAGAAAGATTCCCTCTTCGACAATGATACTCGCAATGACACTCGACGGGTCATTGCAATCCATTATTGGCCACAAACTTTGGTAGCAGCAGCAAGGAACATGGCGTCCAACACCCCCCAAGGGAACCCCCATGCAGGGAGCCAAGATAATGGTCATCACAATGGAGAAATGGGTCGACAGAGCCAGCAGCGAAATTCTCTTCAGAAGAGAGCTCATTGTCTTGCCAGTAGTCAACGCACCGCAAAACGCAACAAGAGGTCAACTGTTGATAGTCAGCAACGCACTCTGAATGGTCAAGTCGCATTTGATCCTGAAAAAGACTGCAAGACTTGTAAATCAAGAAATCTGAGGAAGCTTGGCTATCCTGTCCCAGAGTACAAGAAAGCACATCATTCACTGTGCCCAAAGAACACCAAGACAAAAGGTTTGGTTGCTGTTTCCCAGAGGAATTGCGAGGACATGGAAGAGGAAAAGAGACTTCGAGATCTGTTCGCAGCTCCCCTACAAGCTCACGAGAAGGGCAGCTCTCAACATGCAACATCACAAGCTGGTCAGGACTTCTTCAGGCCAAGGAAAAGTGCCAGATCAAAATCACTCCCAGCGCTAAGTCGGAGAGGAGGTGGGAAGTCAAGAGATGATTTGTCACCTGCCATGTTTTGCAGAGAGGTAACCAAAATGATGGACGATGATGCCTTTCGCAAGAAGCACGAGTCCAAGCTCAT